AATTCAAAAAATCAGAAGCAGTACTCAAAAGACAGAGCTGATTTTTAGGACTTCTAAGAGTAATGATGAAAGTTAAACCTGTGTGTGTGTGTGTGTGTGTGTGTGTGTGTGTGTGTGTGTGTGTGTGTGTGAATCCTTATTGCAGAAAAATGCAGAAAATCTTTGGGATGTGTTGACTTCTATGTCAATTTCTTATAAATTTGTCACCAATTTTGTTTCTCCAACATATAGAATGAAGTAAACACTAAAAATGTTTAAAGCACGGTGTATTACAAGGTCAAGCTAATGTGGACTCAGCTGCTGGTATTATTTTTTTAAACCTCATCAGCATTTCACCATCCTTATTGTAACTACTTTACGATCATCATCTAAAGACAGGGAAGGTGCAGCTTGGGGAGACCAGAGCTATAACCAGAATTTGCAGGTCTAAGAAACACTGATTTTTGACTCTTGAATTAGCAGCTGACGGCAAAAGGGAAGGAAGACCTCATCTCCAACACATTTTCACAATGAACCTGTGATATTCATCAGTACAGATAGTGCCTTCCCTCTAAGCTTTCAACAGATCCACGTAGTTGCTTCTGCCCTCTCACCACAGGAGGTGTGGGACATGTTCCATCCATTTCAACTAGATCAGTAGAAGAGAAGGACTGAGGGATGCAGGGGCAGCCACAAGAGTAACCAGAAAGACTTCTTTTACTGTCTTCTGAAAACACATTTGATAGGCATGATAAGAAGCTAATACAATTAAATTCTTTATAAAAATAGTCAATTATGTTAAAATTTCTTCATATTTTATACTGGGAGCCTGATACCTAAATAAATTGTTCCCTTATTCACCTAGCTGTCTTGTGACACCTGAACAGAAAAATCTATATTTGGTTTAAATCTACACGTATTAATAAATACGCTACCTTGTCAGCCAAGAGGAAAGAATTAATTGGAAGTTATTTGAAGGAAAGGTCCAATTGGTGATTTTTTTTAAAATAAAACGCAGTCAAATCTCTCTCTTTTATTGAATATTACTAGAAGTAATAGAAAGTATGTTATTTCAAAATAAATGTTCTTTCTTATAGTAATAAAAAAGATTTAGTCCATTCTCAGCTAATGATCTGGCATCAAAAAGGCATAACTACAACCTCCAAAATTATATAAATACAAAGGAACATAACTGCAAGCCAGTGTATAATTTAAAATGTAAACTTCAAAGCTTCTAATTTCAAAAGGCATAAAAGTACCATAAATATCAGTTGTACAAGGAGGTTTGATGTTGTGTAAAATATGCACAGTACTCACAAAGCCCGATTATACCATAGCATACATTTTGCTGAAAGTAAACATAAGGTGCTATAATCATTAAATTCTTAGTCAGTTTTGGTGGCTTTCTGGGAATTTAGCAGGGCCCATTTTTAGAAGGAGTGAAGGTAGATAATTAGATAAACTCCTCCAAGGAGTTGTTCAAGGGGGGCAAAGCTAAGGTGTGTCCTCTTCCCCGGGTTAAACTCCCCTGCAGAACTGTGGTTCCTCAGACTCTGTCTTGTGCCCTCTCACAGCCCCTCAGCTCGTGATCCAAGGCCTCCTTAATGGTGCTTATATCGCTTCTCCAACCAGAATTTAGGTTATCCGAGAAACTTCTCAAGATTTCAGTTTCACCCTCTCCTTTGTATCTTTAAAATAATAGAAATTGTTTTGGTTTTTGAGAAATTGAAAAAAAGAAAAAAAAAAACCCTGCTGTTTCTTTACTGGATTTGACACCTTGTTGACGGCTGTCAGAGCCTTTTGTACAGTTAGGAAAGCGTAAAAACAATTACTAGCTCTTGGTCATGGCCTTTCAAAGGAGAGGCCTCAACAGTCTCCCTGAGAATTGCTGAGACAGGTATAAGCCGCGGAGCGGTGCACACCCAGCAGCTGGCTGTGATTCTCCCTTGCCCGGGGCACTTCTGCCGCTGCTCACCTGCAGGCTCGTCTCCTGGAGGCTGTGCCAAGTGGCACTTATTAACTACCTGAGTTTAATGCTTGTTTGGAAAGCATCACCCCCAAATGATAACACAACCTCCAAGAAAAATATAAAAGAGTTGTCACATACAATGCCTATTGTACGCTTGATTTTATCTTGATGGACAGCAAATATTCCCTATCCAAGAAGAGACTAAGGAAAACTGTCAAGTTGGTCAAGTTGATACTCAGAGCAAAACTTCACCTATCCTACCCTCCTCTCTTAGTGGTACCTTCTTATCCTTCTGAGTTTCTGGTCCCTCTGTCGTCTCTCCAGGGCTCCCTACTCACCCCGCACTCATGGGCTTCATTCATGGTAAAGAATAAATAGCACTGTGAAATATTTATAAATAACGTGAATAATTCATGCACTTCACATTCAATGCACTTTAGCAGTGGAATTTTGATATTCTAAATGAGCCGGAAGGTGTTGGAAGCCAATAGAGCATCAAGTCATTCCCCCCAGGTACAGAGAGTTAGCACTGCACACACACCTGTCAAATGCCAAAGTTATACATGAATGATGTGCTCATCCAATATTCCATAAGATTTAGTTCACAAAGAGTAAATCATCACAGTGTCTGTCCTGGGCCTATATTATCATTTTGGGAGTTACCAAAGGACCATGCAATATAAAAATACACCATTAAGTTTGTGTCTTTAACATAATAGATAGCAGCACCCTGACCAATAAAAGCAGTTAAATGCAACTTATTGTCTGCATTTAATAAATAAAGCATCTAATCAATCAGTCCCTGAAAGACAACTCTATCTGTAGATATTAAAAACAAATTCAATATCACATTTCCTGTGAGGTTTATCAGTAACCTTATTTTAACAACACTAGGACGATATTTTAATATACATGATTAATGATATTATTCAGTAATAATGTATTAATATTATTGCACATTATTCTTTTTTTTTTTTTTTTGGTTTTTTGGTTTTTCTCCGGTACCAGGAACCGAACTCACGACCTTGCGCTTGCCAGGCAGGCGCTTTTGCCGCTGAGCTAAATCCCCAGCCCCTGCACATTATTCTTAACACCCTAAAACTCACATCCTCTTATTTGCAGCAGCACCAGCATGCTTGCTTTTACTGAGATTGGAGCCACAAGAGCCAGCCTGAATTCACCTCACTCCATCCCTGCTGCTGCTGATAAATTAATTTTTCAAAAGTAGAATTCCCATCATGTCAATCCCTTGCTAGAAAAAAAGGAGGGAAGAAAAAGCCAGTGCCTTTTTACTGCATGCTAAGTTAACCGCAAATGCCTTTTTTCTGTGGTTTGAAGCTTTCCCACATATGCTTTGGGGGTTTTAAGTATCTTTAATTTACACATCTGCACGTTGCTGCTGTTGTACTGTGATTCCTATCAGCTCAGTGTATCACTAGGCTTCACATAGATTACCTCAGATGACTCCACGATAATCCCACTAGGAGATACTAGCTTGTATCTGAGATGAGTAGACCAAGATAATAAAGTGAGCTCACAGATGCGAACTGGTTGTGCATAGACTGAGACCTATCTGCAGTAAGAGAGAAAATCCAGGGCTAGGGATATAGCTCAGCGGCAAAGTGCCTGCCTGGCAAGCACAAGGTCGTGAGTTTGATTCTTGGTACCAGAAGAAAAACAAAACAAAACAAAAAAAAGTAAGAGAGAAAATCCACAGGACCACAGTAATTCAGCTGACTGTCTCTTCGCATTCCAAGGCCGACGGCATTAGTAATCCCCCCCTGCCCTGAAGCTGGGTATAAATATGAATTCTAAGTGAACCTGATATTATTTATTTATTAGGGGAGTTGCTTGCAGAGATCACAGAAATTCTTATTCCTATTTTTCTAAGCCATGATACAGTAAGACATTCCTATTTATAGCTACTTTGCTACTTCTTTGGTGATCATATTTGGATTTTCACAAACATTTCTGATTTCAACTTTCTACATGTAATTAGACTCATGGTTCAGTGGGAGTGAACCAGAAACATCTAAAAAAAATAATAAAAGGGGCCTATTGACAGGATGTTGGAAAGATCGGGGTAAACATGTTACAGGAAACAGATTTCAGAGGAACTAGAAGTCCTCAGCCGGGTGTTGCTTCTTAAGCTATGGCCTGACACAGGTGGTTACCTCTGGAAGGTGTTCAGCCCATAATTGGGGAGAAGACTGCTTGACCCATGTATCCTAACAGCCAGACATTCGGGATGAACAGGGTCATGGAGGTGCCTTCTGTCAGCACATCATCCTGTAAGCAAAGGAAAGAACCAATATTTGATAAACCGTGAGAACAAAAGCTTGCCAAGAGCAACCTCCTATATTTTAGGACATGAAAATGTAATTACTTTTCATGATATTAAATGCAAACACAAATGGAATTCTTTAACATATGTGCTCAAGTTATGTACTTTAGACAAGAATAAACAATTGACATTTCAATTTTTTTCTCTGAGAAGAATGCATTAAAAGTTTGCATGCAGAATAAGAATATGGAAGATATTCTTCATTAGTTCTTATGAGACATTTAATAAAACAGCGATAAAAAGGTGTTTCAAACTTCTCATGCCTATTTGCTTTGAAAAAAACCTCTAGTCACAAAACCTTGATTCTGAAACTTTGTTGATATATTTGACATAAAAATAGGAGCAGAAAAATCCATCCACTAGACCGTCAAATGCCAAATCTTATTCTGAAATTATTATGATAACTAGAAAATTTCACAGAGCAAATGTTTATCTCTTTGCAATCAAGGAGTTACAATAATAAAGCAGAGTTAACAGGTGCTAAAAATGTTTATGATTTCCCCCACAGAAGGATTTCAAAAGACCATCCAAAAGTTAGAGAAACTTGAACTTTAGAATATATGCATGTTAAATATATATTTTAAATATACAAATTTAAAAGTCATACCTGTTAAGAGACAGAAGATGCAGCTTTGTAAGTTATTCTGTCTGGAGGCTCATTATGTTCACTGCTCAAATGTCTGTACTAATGTGATTTTCCTTCCCCAGGGAGATAAAGAAGCAGAGTTGGGCCTTCCATTTTCCCCACTCTGTGATCGAAAGTCAACCATGGTGGCCCAGTCACAGATAGGTAATGTCAAAGATGGGTGCTCAGGGGAAGTGGATGTGGCCTTGTCAGTTTTCGAATGTGTACACCTTTCTGTTCAAAGGCTTCCAGCCAAACTGCCCTTTAGTCTCCTGATAAACTTTGTCTTTAACCTAACCTAAATATTGCTCAATAATGATCATTGAAATAATTTCCCAAAATAAATTCAAAACGGCAGCACTTGTCAGTGATACTGTTCCTCTGGTTATAATTTTCCTTTAGAATGCAAAGGACTTTTTTCTTGTGCAAAGAAGTATAGTTTTTGTTTTGTTGCTGATCATTTAATTTGATCCTTTAATGCAAGACAATTCGATGAAAATATTAACATTCTGACACTGTTATTGGTCAATTTCCATAGTACGCTTAACACACAAGCTCATATCCTTTTGGAAAAACAGTTCTTGTGATAGGAATAGATAAGCCAGCAGTATGAAATTTGCAAAATAATATTGCTTCCAACCACATTCATTGTCAACTGTGTTTGTGCTGGGAACTTCAACTCCAGCTCGTTATTAAAACCTGCTTGCCACACCGCAGGCTGACGTATTTGTAAAAGCCGTTCCCCGAAGCAGCACCTTCATCACCGCACTACATGGGCAATGAACACAAAGTTACTGTCTCATCTCAAGTACTGCAGTAGCGCCCACCACGAAGCTGCAGGGTGGTTGGAAAGCCAGCATCTCCCTCCCATCCAACTTCCAGCAACTATTAATCTAGGGACCACAGCTGAGGTGCTCCTTACTGTTTAGAAAGCACGAATGCACGCGGCAGCCTGAAAACCTCCCCCGGCAAGCGGGGCAGGACTTCGCATCCCGAGGCTTGCTGCTCATTGAATTGCTGCAGGTCTGTTAGTAGACCATCTTCACGTCCCCGGGATTAAAACCACTTGCAAAACTGGAAGTAACACCCTGGGTGGACAGTTAACATGGCTTTAATTTGAAATTATCAGTTGAAACCCATTTTTGAAGTTGTATTTTTAATTAGAAATCTGCCTCAGTATTTACTATGAGGCATCCATTTCCTTGAAACACCAATTGTATCAAGCAGCGGGATGGATAATCTTCACATGCGGATACTTCCCATTGATTATGGCCTAAAATCACGCCTTCTAGTCTCTTGTTTTCACACAGTACTGGGTGTAAGGTGGTGATTTCAAGCCCGTTCCTGCCCCTCGGGCCACGGGGTGCTGAGGTGCACACAGAGCTTCGATATGGTTGTTGCCTCCTCCTCTGTCTAAACACTGCGTGGTAAAAGCTCCCAGAAGACAATGCTCCGCTATTTATGTGTCATTTCCCATCTTGATAAGTGCTGTGAGTGTAAAATTCTCTCAGTCCTGGTGTCTCAAAGTGTGGGGTCAATGCAGTCTCCAGAGACGCCCACTTGACGGCTCCCGCCCACATGCTGCGAACTAACTTACATCCACAAAATAACAAACAGCAATGTGAAATATTGACACACTAGCAGAAAGCACTTTAAAACAAAAGGGTGATCACCTTCCTTTGGCCTGAGAAAAACTACAATTATTTAGTTGCTCTGGAGCTTGGATATGATTTCTTTTGGAGGCAATAATAAAATTCAACCACATGAAAACTTTTCTAAAAGGATGATGACACTTCTCATTGAGAGGGGAAATACATTCCTTTCTTTAGATCTGAGTTTATTGTTAGCAATAGTGTTTAAGATGGAACATGAAATAAAAAAGCCAACACAGTTAAGTTACCAAAGTAAACTTTTACAGCCTGACATATTATTTCTGTTAATTAAATGGACTCTAAAAATTGTGTTAATGAATTAAAATAATGTCCAAGGGTAAGCAGAACCAATATTATAGTTGATATTTGCTACCCCAGGAATGGGCCAGTAACCCTTAATCATTGTAAGTTTAGGATTCAGGAAGTGATAACACTTGAATTTATCTCTCTTTGTTTTTTCTTTTCTTTTTTTTTAGGTTTCATTGATTTCATAGTAGAGCCAACATTTTCTCTTCTGACAGACTCAACAGAGAAAATTGTTATTCCTCTTATAGAGGAATCCTCAAAAGCTGAAAGTCCTAACTATGGGGCAAGCGGGTATGACTGTTTTTTCTTTTGCATCGTTTTTTCATGTCTGTGATGTTACAGCTGAGCAGGGAATTCTTGCAAGCATTATTAGGTCGCACTGCCACCTAGTGGCTTTTTATTGCGTTCATCGGCCCTTACCATTGAGAACTGATGTCCCCGGTTTAAAAACACGTTTAAAAACATACATGTCGTGAGTTCGATCCCCAGTACCGCAAAAAAAAAAAAAAAAAAAAAAAAAAAAAAAAGTCAAAAAGTACCTGGAGCGCACTGAGATGTTCAAAGCGCCCCAGGCGGGGAGGGAGGCCGGGAGGTGAGCAGTAGCCACTACACGCTCACAGCTGGGCCCGAGCATTGCTGCTCTGCTTTCCTGGCGGGTTTTGTCAAGTGTCTGAGACGTTGGTGACCTTGGTGTCTTTTGGCTCCTTTGGTCGTGCCCTTAGCTCAGCCAGCATCGTGGGGTTGCACATCGCCGATTCCATGAGACGATCGAATATTAAGGGCTCCGTGAGCGACGGGAACTTCTCCCCCGACTACTCGCTGGCTGCCGTGGACCTCAAGAGCTTCAAGAACAACCTGATGGACATCATTCAGCAGAACAAGGAGCGCTGGAAAGAGCTGGCCGTGCAAGGTACAGAGCCTTATGCACCTAGCGGCTCCCTTTGCGTCTTGGCCCCTCCTCTAACGCTTTGGAGTTCCTTCCACGCGATTGTTTTTCCCTTTTCTAAAATGCGCAAGCTCTTGGTGCAGTTTTGAATCTGGCTACCCTTTGATTATCCAAGAGTAAGCTTGGGTTTTCGTTCCATAAAAGGGGATTCTGCTCTGTTCGCACCATGTGGGCTGCCCATGTGTGTCGGTGGGTAGGGGCCACCTGGATGTGAAGGATGGGTCAGTGACCCCGTGACAAAACCTTGTGGCCCGGTAAGCTCCTGTGCACCCCTGCAGATGCTTTGAACCTCTGTGAGCTCCAGGCAGGAGGTTACAAACTCTTCTTCCCCTGACCGAGATGTCCAGCCAATTTTTTAAAGAAAGAAAGCTTTTCAAATTCCCCTGTCCCTTGATTGATCCCCAATGTTAGAGAACAGTAGTTTTTGTTGATGCTTTCCCACTTGCACTATTTTTCTCTCCAAATCACCAAAACAGGAAATTTCCCTCAACATTGGGTTTGGGATAATTAAGTAAGTTTATTTATATCATCTGCTTACAAGTCTCTAGAGCCACAAACATGAGAAGTTGGCTGTTGTTACTGTAATTATTATTTATTGTACTCATGCGCTATAGCCTAGGAATGAGAGGTATACTCACAAGGGAGCCGAAACTCCTACTGTCATCAACAGGAGCAGGGCAGGATTGTGACTCTAAAGGAGGTGGTCAGGAAAGGCTTCATGAGGAGATGATCATTTAAATAAATAGATGGAGGAGGCCCAAAAGGGAGCTATGGGCAGGTCTGGGATGGTAGACAATAAATAAATCCAGACACAGAGAAAGGACACTGAGTATTTGGGAGGTAGAGCTGTTCTGATATGCAAGAAACAAGGAAGCCAGGGAAGTCGGTAAGTGGGCAGAGGGGATGATGTGGGCAAAGGGACTGTGGCACCAGGTCACTGGGTTGGCCCAAGAGAGATTGGAATCCCAGGGTAGCACTTTGAGGAGAAAAATGAGTAATGGTTTTGAAAATATTTATCTGATTGCAGAGCTGAAGATATACTTTTGCATAAAAGGCAAAACTGCAAACAAGGAGGCCAGAAAGAGGGCTATTGTTTATAATCAAGGTGAAAGATGGAAGTTTAGACCAAGTAGTAATGATGGAGAATGGCTTCCCATGAATTTAGCTATATCAAGATGGTGATGTGAACCCTGGGTATGCAGCAGAATCAGCAAAAGAGATTGGACCCTAGTTATGTTTTGAAAGTAGAAAGGATAGGATTTGTTACCTGACTGAGCGTGGAGGAAGAAATCAAGAGAAAAGACAAGAATAAGATCACAAATACATTCAACCCTCACAAAATGTGAAACTAGGTGAAAAGAGGATTAAAGGGAAGATGATTAAAGCATGTTTTGTGCCTGTGATAAAAGGCAAATGTAACAAATGTTGGCAATGAAAAAATGTCAGACATTTTGGTTTTCTTATACATTAATTGTGTTTGTAAATCTCTGTAATTATTTCCCAGAGCAATTTGGCATTCTAAGCAAAGGGAAATGCGGATATGCCATGTTGCCCAATAATTTTCTTCTCTCTTACTACCATAGAGAGAATTTGGCTCCATGCACATCAGAAGACATGCCCAAGAAGCACATAGCAACATTGTTCATGAGTGCAGAAAAACTTGAAAATTCAAAAAGAAACAGTAAAAGGGATTCACACATTTTGGTTTGTTCATACTGTATAGCCACATATAGCTATCAAAATAAACTTTATATAAGCACAAATACAGATAAATGATCCAAACAATGTTGAGCAAAACATCTAGTTGACTGATGCCAGTTACACAAATCAAGATAACATGTATACATTTTAAAAAACTAAAAAGAAAACAACAGGATGTTTGCATGTTTTAAGTACTGGGGATTGACAACAGGCTTTCACACTGAGCCACAGTCCCAGTCCTGTTGTTATATATTTGTTCTGAGACAATAGCTTGGTAACTTTTCTTGTTTTCTGGGACAAAAAACCTGATGCCCTAAAGTAAGGAAGGAAAGGTTTATTTGACTCACAGTCTGTGGAGGTTTCAGTACATACTTGGCTGGCTCCAAGGCAGGGTGGCATGGCAGTGGGAAACAGTTCATGGTGGCAGAAGATACCAAAAGCAACAAGAGCAAAAGGGGAAGAGCAAGCCACTTTTCCTCCCTTATATTGTGTGCAGGGTACTTGCCCTAAGGCAGGTGTAGTATTCACATCCCCAGGCCTAGCACTAGACGATGAACCAATCACAAAGTCTAGATTCAGCTGCTTCACAAAAGCCTGCCTCCCCATGACTGCATGGGGAGCCTTTGAGGGGACATCCAAGCACAAACCATAACACACAGGATCTCACTAAGTAGCTAAATTGCCCAGGTTGAGCTTGAACTTGTGATCCTCCTGTCTCAGGCTCTCTAGGGTGCTGGGATTTCAGGTATGATCCATCAGGCTCAGCAACAATAGATTTTAGAGTACATATATGACAGAAAGAATGTGAATAATTTTTTGGCATAGACATTTTCAAAAAGCAAAAAAATTTTTTTTCAGCACCTAATGTTTACTTTTTTGGTTAAATTGTACGTATTTGGAGTGAGAAAAGAACAATGGAGGCAAACATTCAGCATGGCCCTGGGAGGTAGGGTGGGTTTGTATTCAGGAATTAGCATTTCAGTTGTTATACTGGTCACTACATGGCTGTCCACTATATTGTTATGATTATATATAACCCATATGCTTAAATATGTACACATAAATCATTTATATGAATAGACTATTTTGTAATAAAAATGAAAAAATATGATCAACTACAAAAATACTTCTGAAACAGTCATCAATTTTAAAGTCAATGAGTGACCCTTAGATTTTACCATTTTAATCGCCTTTGACATTATCTCCAGTGGTAAACACGCTGAAAATGAAAGCTTCTGTGGATAATTGCTGCACTGAGCTGACAGAAGCACGGTGTGATGCTTAGAGATTTAGAATGTTAACACCCAGGCTTGGGAGAGAATCCCAGTTCTGTGGATGCATGAGCTCATCCTTAAGGGCTGCACTCTACTGCGTCTCTTGAGCATATCTGAACTGCCAGCATCACTGCTCCTGCACCTTGGGACCGTTACTAAGTAAAGCAAAGGTTACCCAAATACAAGCACAAGATACAGCAACGGTGCATCTGAGAACTAAAGGTGCTGAGTGCCGCTGATGGATAGGGGTAGTATATAGCTTGTGGCTGTGCTGGACAAAGGGATGAATAAATCAGGTCCCAAATGAACCATGTGGGACTGTGTGAGATTACATCACTCTACCCAGAACAGTAGACAATTTAACACTTATGTTTATTTCTGGATATTTCCATTTAAAACTGTTGGACTATTGTCTTAGTTATTTTTCTTGTTGCTGACCCAAAATACCTGACAAAGCTAAAAGAGGAAAGGTTTATTGTAGCTCACAGTTTATAGAGGTTTCAGCTCATAGTTGGCTGTCTCCAAGGCAGAGTGACACAGCAGAAGGGAACTGCAAGGGAGAAATAGTTCATGGTGAGCAGGAGGCAGCAAAGTAATAAAAAAGCCACAAGCAAGCACAGCAGCCTTCTTTTTGTCTCTTATATTATATCCAGGCTATGCACATTATCCATATGCAGAAGTATGCCAAATTAATCAGTGGACTAATTTAGTAATTGCACACCTTTGATCCCAGCACCATACACTTAATCCCAGCACATCACACACTCTAGATTCAGCCACCTGAAAAAGCCCTACCTATGACTACATGAGGCTTCAGGGAGACACAGACACAAGCCATAATAACTGTGGTTGATTTAGGACAGTAGTGGTGAACCTATAGCATACATGCTGCAGCTTGCTGTTTGTTATCTTAAGAGCTCTAAAAGGTTTGCCACCTCTGACTAGATAAGGGATGACCACTGAATTTGAAATATCTTGAAATACAATATGGTAAGTTATACACCATAAGTGGTTTTTCTAATTATGTCAGGATTAGTGCCAATCAAAATGTGGATTCTTAAAAACACTGTGGTTTCTTGTTCTGTGAGGTGTAAGATTATGTTCCAAGCTATGTAGTGCCAAGTCCCATCACAGTTATTATTCTATTTGCTTGGCCAAGCTCTTTCACAATTCAGCTATTATCTATTTTGCCAAGGTAAAAACTGAGGCCTAAGGGAGCCAAGCAAGTCACGTAACATGACAGATTTGTACGGACATTACAAATGCATCAAACGTTCTCCTTCCCTTTCATTTCATGTAATATGCAGAAAGTACGATGAGGACAAACACAGAAAAAAAGAAACAATTTCTTGGGAAATCTTACGCCCAAGACTAGCATAGTTATGTCACCAAATCTACTTCTACCTATTTTAGCACAGTTCATCCAATGAGTTTTCCAATATTATCCATTCAACCAGTCATAACCTGCAGACATTTTCACTTTAAAATATGAAAATTTCTGAATTTGGGAGTGAAACATTGTATCATTTGTCTTCTCACTCTTTGTTTATTTCTACAAAGATGTACTATGGCAACTCAACAAGGAAAGGAATATTCTGATAAAACTGAAGTTTAGAGAACTTACAAGTAGCCACCTAAATTCAAATATTTTATCTGTGAAAAGGGATTTACATCTATTTTGCCTGAGTTCAAAGCTAGAAACTTTGTAAGTCATGTTCTAAAGGTTAATTTTGATAGGTTGGTTTTGTTATATTTTGTAAAACTTTTCTCCAGAGCAGAAGATCTCTAGATTGTTAAAATAAGCACCTACCTTTCTTTTTCTCAGCAGTGAAATTCATGTCACGGAAGCGTAAGTTTTCCCACATTAAGCACCTTTAAATAAAACCTCGTGCATGTTGGCATCTCTCATTTGACCAAAGGACGTGGAGATGTTGATATTCTTGCTGGAAATCTACCTGAACCACTGTGAGCAAGGGAATCCATTTTTGC